AACCACCACCACAATCAAGATAGCTAATATTTCTATCACTCCCCAAGAGGTGCAAATTTCAAATTCCCAATTTATCCCTTCCCACCTCCTTTACCACTGGTAAGCACTGTTGTCTGTGTGTCTGGTTTTGTTTTGTAGATAAGTTCATTTGTGTCCTTTTTTTTTCCCTTTTTAAATTTTTTTTAAATTTTTTAATTTTTGGAGGGGAGGGAAGGAGGTAATTAGGTATGTATGTATGTATTTATTTATATATTTCTAGAGGAGCTACTGGGGATTGAACCCAGGACCTCGAGCATGCTAAGCATGCACTCTGCCACTTGAGCTATATCCTCCCCACTGTGTCCTTTTTTTTAGATTCCACATACAAGTTATATCATATGGTATTTTTCCTTCTCTTCCTGACTTTCTTCACTTAGAATGACAATCTCCAGGCCCATCCATGTTGCTGCAAATGGCATTTTTTATTCTTTTCTGTGGCTGACTAGTATTCCCTTTTGTATCTATACCACACCTTCTTTATCCAGTCATCTGTTGATGGATATTTGGGTTGTTTCTATGTCTTGGCTATTGTAAATAGTGCTGCTTGTGAACATGTATCTTTTCAAATTATATTTTTCTCTGGATATATGCCCAGGAGTGGGATTACTGGTTTATATGGTAAATCTATTTTTGTTTTTTTGAGGAATCAACATATTGTCCTCCATAGTGGCAGCACCAGTTTACATTCCCACCAACAGTGTAGGAGAGTTCCTTTTTCTCCACACCCTCTCAAGGATTTTTGTGGACTTTTTAATGATGGCCATCCTGACTGATGTGAGGTGATACCTCATTGTAGTTTTGATTTGCATTTCTCTAACAATTACTGATGTTGAGCATCTTTTCATGTGCCTGTTGGCCATCTGGATGTCTTCTTTGGAGAGATGTCTATTTAGGTCTTCTGCCCATTTTTTGATTGGGTTGCTCGTTGTTTTTTTTGATATTAAGGTGTATGAGCTGTGTTTTGAATTTTAGATAGTGTCTGTTGTAGCATACAGATGCCCTCTCATGTTCAATTTACATATTTTCTTGTGTTTTGGTAAAGATACACTTGGGTGACTGGTAAAGAGCCACTTACTTACTATGACATGAATTTGTCAGCTCAGGATCATCAGACCTTTTTTACCTGTGACACGGATTTTTTACGTCCTTCAGACACAGGTATGTATCATATCTGTTCACGGGGTAAACAATAGTTATAAAATTATTTTTAAAGTTTTTTAGAGTTATTTATTATAATATATAATGTTATTTGGCTTGGAGTTGTTTGCATCATTGATAAGAAACCCAGATTAAATTAAAACCAATTATGATGGTAAACTAGGTTATTGTTCTACCTTTCTGTCTTATAAAGTATTTTATGCTTCTTTTATTACTTAAGAAACCTTTCAGATCAAATACAGCAATTACCAATGTAGAGAGAATGGTGTACCCAATTTTGTTCTGGGAAATTAACACCTGCAATTACACATTTAAAAAAAGAGTAGGACAAAGCTAAACATTGGGGCTTGGGGGGTAGAGAAAAATGGGGTATGTTACATTCTAGTCATAAGTCAGAGATGCTTATAAAGTGGTGAAAGACCATAAAAATGTCTGTGTTTAGTTCTCTGTAACCTCTTCTCTATAGAAGAGAGTATTGAGACTCTTAAATGTTTGGCTTAAAGACAGGGATCTTTATCGCAGCTATTTTGAATGCCTCTCCCTCCTTATCTATGCTTCTGTTTTTATCCCTCCTGGTTTTATCCTTCAAAATTAAAAGTTACTTTCTCTTGGAAGCCGTCTCTGATCTTCTCTGCAGTTCTGTAATACTTAGCCCAAACCTCACTGAAATAACTACTTAATTTACTGAACTGTAAGCATTTATTTGTTAATGTCATCATGTTGCTTTAATGTTTGTCCTCCTAATAGTGTGTGAAACTTTGGGAAACAGGGACTATATTCTCATCATCTTTGAATTCCTATCATCTAGGGATGTAAATATTAATATGTATTCTTTGATGAAAGTATGAAAGTATGAATGAATAAATAGCCTTGGTGTCACAGATGTCTTAAGCAATTTTGCTAATAGTAACTAACACTTGTATGGCACTTATTATGTGCCAAGCTCTATTCTAAGCAATTTATATAAATATACTAATTTAATCTTCCCACTTTATGAGATAGGTACTATTATCAGTCTCATTTTAAATATAAAGGAACTGAGGCATGCCCTAAATCATCTAGCTAATAAATGATAAAGGTGGGTTTCAAACACAAGTCTGGCTCTTAACCACTGCACTATTACTGACTCGACTCACCGCATTAATAGGCAGAAGAAAATCACAAACAATTAGGGTCTGGAAAATAGCCAGTTTTCCAGCATTGGTATATCTGTTCTGCATTAAGTATATTAAGGGTGTATGGTAGCAGGAAACCCAAGGACCTTTGGTATGGTTACATAAAATGATTAAGTTGCAAATAAGAGAAGAAGGAATTACTTTATGTTTATGTGCTTAATGTTTATATTAATGGCAAAAGTGTAGGTGTTGGGGAAATAACAGCAGTGGAAAATTAGTATTGTATGTTATCTATAAGGACTGAGGTGACTCCAGAAATTAAGGCTTTTCACCTCCTTCTCAGGGGCTGAATTGCAGACCTTGGCAGGCTTTTCAGATAGCAGCCATGACTATCCACTAAAGTTGTGGTCTTAGAACATTTTTGTTCATGTGCCTCCTAAAAGAATTTTGGAAAACTCAGTATCCCTTCACACATTCTTAAGTTGATGTCATATGGTTAAATAACTGCAAAGAATGTAATTTTTGGCATAAATACAGAATTTAAAAAATTAGAATACACTATATTTAAATGTATCTCAAGGAATCTGATTACTTGATAGCCACCATTATTCATCGAAAAATACATGAACAAATACTCTAACAGTAGTAAATTTTATAAGTCCTTTTTCTTGTTGAACTCATATTCATTCCATGACTATATATGATTTTATTATAATTATTTTATGCTTGAAAATCTTTTATCTGACTTAAATGCTTTCCCACAATAAACATCTTTTGTATAAAGTTTTAAAACTTAAATTTCTTAACTGTAAAGTTCTAAATGGAGTCATGTACATGTACTTCATATTTTTGTCAAATCCTTGGCTCTTTGAACTTTGGAAAATGTTTTCCATATAACCTAATTGGCTGAATGAGTTCTCATTGTTAATCCTGTTTACCAAATCAGACATATACTTTATGGTTTCTACCGATCAGATACTCCCAAACTCCTCTCAATTGTATATATCCAAAATCTTTTAAAACATGCATACATTTTAACCACCTTCCACCTCTAAAAATGAAATATTTGGTCAGGTATGCAAAGATGTTGAAAGATGATTATCACAATATTTCTATATTAATAGAAAATGAAGAATTCTGACTTCATTTTTTAATTCATGTAAACATCTTAACATGCATCCCATGACAACCATCTCTCTTCTGAATTTAGATTCTAAGATAGAAAGATAGATAAATCTTGGAGCTTTGCCTTGAGCTTATCACTTGGCCAAAATAAGATTCCACTGCCTTTATCATCCCTTACTAGTGCTTTCTTTGCCTTACTATGAGGGGATCTTCCTTTAGGAGCAGTGCATGCTTTGATAGTAAGGGGAAAAGGGGTACTGGTAAATGGAACTGATGAAAATTGTTATCACTCCCTCCCCACTCTATATGGTACTTGAATTTAGAGCATCCAGGGGCCAGAACACTCTATTGCTAATGCCAAACTTCACTGCTAAAAGAAAGAAATAAAAGGCACAAATCCCTATTTTAGGTGCCTTGATTGAAAATTGCCCCCCAAATCCAAACTTTGAATTGTCTCTATGGCACCTGAATATTTTTACACTCTAGGGCAATGCACCTTGAAAAGATTCAGGGTGGGTGAGAAGCAGGCCTTTCTTTTGTAAAGTAGAAGAAGATAATGTATCTTTTGGGGAGCTGGAGCAGGGGAGTGAACATTGGGTAGGAAAGGAAAACTAACATGACACATAGGCCAAGACAAATCAGAGGAACATTCTTCAGGTAGATCAGTTATAAGAAAGAGTCATATAAAGTTGAAGCTTTAGAAATAGATTCTCTGAACACTATGTGTCCCATTTTGGTCTTTCAGTGTTTCATGTAGTATTTCTAGAGATACTCGTAATGCCAGCTAAAGACTGAACTAAACTTAATCCACAAATGATGATTCAGAAGTGGACTGTTGGTTCCATATTGGTCTTTTCAGACACTCGCATAAGGGTAATGATTTATGTCTGTAGTTTTATATTTAAAAAAAGACAGATGTGTCTATATGTGTGATATGACAAATTTCTCTTTTTTTTTCAAATTTCTCTTGACTATTGGCATTAGTAATTACTAAATTAGTAGATTTTTGTTCTTATCCTGTTGATTACTTTAACTAAGAGAACAAATACATCCTGAGGGCCAGCCAGCAGTGTTTCCTGAATAATTTGTTTTCATGGGGTTTTTTAACATTTAAAAGTCAGGAGATTTAACATTAACCTCCAGATTTACACTTTTAAGTTGGAAAATATGACAAAACTGGGGCTCCATTTCCAATTGGCAATAATTAGTTAGACATAAGCAGTGACACTTTTTAGACAGTGCATATGCTTTCAGTTTATTCATTTATGTTTTTTGCCTAATCTCTGTAGGTATTTATATTTGTCACCCCTGGTCTTGGGATGAATGCTAGTACTTCTGCTTGTTAGCATATTAGTATATTATTTAACTTGAAAAATGGATGTTTGATTGAATTGCTAACTGCTTGTGTTATTTTTAAAACATATCAACAATTCTTAAAGAAGACAGCTGAATACCAAATCAGCATTTTGCTTTAAATTATTCCTACACCTTGGTTTAGAATGAAGTATATTTTTTCTTCCTTTATGTTATTTCTCCTCCCCTCTTTTTGGCTTAGAATTGCGTTAGTTGTGAGGAATAATCTTGAAAAGCTGATAGAGCATTTGAAAACATAAGAATAAGAAAAAATGCTCCATGGCAAATTAAATGACCTTGCTAGAAATAGAAGAAATACAAATGCAAGTAAGATAGTTTTCATGTATTCAATTAGCAAAAATTGATACTACTCAGTGTTGGTAAGGAAGTAAGGGGACGTAGTCACTCCCCTACACTACCTGAAAAAATGTAAATTAATACAGTCTTACTGAGAGAAGCTTAGGAGTGTATATCCAAAATCTTTTTAAAAATGCATACATTTTAACCAACTTCTGCTTCTAAAAATGAAATATTTGGTCAGGTATGCAGAGATAGATATTGAAAGATGGGTATCACAATATTTCTGTATTGGCAAAAAATTGGGTAATTTAATTACCCATCAAAAAGGAATTGGTTAAATAAATTACTGTATATACTTAATATGCTAGAATACCAAATAACTATTTGAACTGTTGATAAAGATTCAGTGTCAAAATTTGACCTCTATCATGTAATTTATAGAAGACAGCCTCATCATCAAAAATGGCAAGTCAAGTATTATATTTTATTTTTATGTAATATTTTAATGTTTAAGCAAAATGCTATTCTTTACCTGGTTATTATCAGGTGGGTACTGACTTGCATCAGTTTGTCAACTTCAGGGCATTAGCTGTCAGCTAGCTGGTGACATGTTTGATATGAGAAACGTATTTTTGTTACACAAGTAGAATACATTGTCTCCTTTTCTAAGCCAAGACTAATATTTTGTTTCCAAAGGAAAACTCAAACATTTTCCACATTATTCTTTCTGGACAGTTGTAGGTTTTGTTCCAAAAGCAACATTCATAGATTTTCTATTTTTCTTATCAAACTTGAAATAGGCCGGATAATTTCATGGATCTATTTTGTTTACTTGTTTGTTTAATTTTTAAGAATCTTTGCTTAGTGTGAATTTTTCATTTTGGTACAGTAAATGATAACAAAACTAATATTTGTTATTTCTGAGAGATCCCAATTTAGGCTTTTCTTAAATTTTAGTAGAGACTGACATTTCCCATAAATGTACTATATACTAAATTAATTCCCCCTCTCTTTAATACAAAATGCAAATTCAAGCACTCTTCATGGATTGAATCATTGATTAGACAAATACTTTGTTTTTAAGTGTTTTGTACATTTTTAAGAGTTTCATAGAATCTTTTCAAGAGGATAAGAGAACTAGAATATTTTCTAGATTGTAATCTGATGTCAAACTCAGTTTTAATATGTATTTAGGTATATAAATGTTCATGTTTAATAATGATGTAATGAACTTGATTAAGTACCATCTGTGTTGTTCTTCATAATCAGAGAAAGAGTATTTTCATTATATGTGAAGCTTCCACATTTAATGTAAATTTCTCAGAAGGTTAAGGTATTAGCTAGCACCCCAATTTCTTCTTTCTTATGTTTAGGACATTTTACTAAGATCTTTGTTTATTCTTCTAACTCATTCATATGTTTTGCATAAAATTATTTATGTTTACCATCTCATCTCCTTTTTGAAATATTTTTCCTACAGTTATGCAGAAGGCATGGAGGGAAAGAAATCCTCCAGCTCGAATCAAAGCAGCCTATCAAGCTTTAGAATTAAACAATGAGTAAGTTTCAAATACATGGAAAATAAGTTTGTCTTAAAGGAAACCCAGGCAAATGATTTTGTTTTCTTTTGTCTGTTCCTAAGACACTTGGAGTCATAAACAGTCCCCTTTCTCTTTTTGCATACTGGAGACAAAATTTGCAGTGTTCACTGACATCTGTATTTTGCTTCTGAAATTGTAAACTTACATATGCTTTTGAATAGGAATCATGCTAGAAATACTTTTTTAAATGGAGAATGCTGATCTAACTGATGATAATACTTGATAGTTAAAGAGTATTAAAATACTTATGCCACCTGTTTTAATTTTGTTTTTCATTTAAGTCATTTCTCAGTCCTGAGAACTGTAGTTAGTGGCATTGGAGGCATGAGAAGGGGATTCAAAATAGGTAAAACATAGCTCTAGCTTAATTTTTTTAATGTTAGCAGTATTTATTTTTTATAACTCCTTGTATCAACTTTATATTTTAAAAAGACAATGTAAAATCATAAGTCAACTTCATATTTAAATGGGACAGATCAATAAGTACTAATCTAATATTAAATAAATGCCAAGAGTAAAAATATGGCCCAGTTGGAATTAATCAAGAAACGCCTCCTAAATAATATGAACTTAGCATAGTCCCCGTGTACCCCTCCCTTCTACCCTATCGCAGATACATTAATCCTTATTAGGAAGACCTTCCCAAGGTGGAACAAAAGTGGCAGTGTAGAGAACGCCAAAAGCAGTGAATCAATTTTATTGAAATTCTGGAAGCTAATCAAAAGTTTATTGCAACCTGGAGAGTGTTTAATCAATTAAAAAACAGTTAAATTTCTGTAAGAGTGCTTTATGGTGTTTTAACTTACACTGCTCCCATCCTCCACTCCCTAGCTCAGTGGCACCTTGAAGATAACAGTCTGCATACTGGTATAAGTTCCTGCTATCAGAGGAAGCAGAATAGACTTCATTCTCAAAGAATTGTGGTGGTTTATTTTGACCTGTCTGGTGGCTCCCTGAAGGATCAGCTCATGGGGCTTGTCTTTATTTTGGTTAATTTGAAACTCTCCCAGCACTGACACAACTATACTGGGGAGAATTTGTTGAAAACATTTAAGGGCAATGTATTAGCCCCTGCTGCCAGGGGCAAGGGGTAACAGCTAGGGCAAATAATAGACAAACTAGAAAGCTTGGGAGGAGAGGTTAGGGTATGAGATACTTTGGGAAATAATGGCTTTTAAAAGTTCCCACATATTCCTGGGAATTTCAAAGGCCCCACACATGCCCAAGATTGGGCATATGCTCAGAAAAGACTTAAGAAGATCCTAAGCTTTCATGTCTGTCTGACTTTCAGGTTCTGCACAAACAGAAAGTGAAGGCTAGGGCAGACTTGTAAACTGCCTAACTGAATGTTGAAGGTATGCCCCAATACACACACAGAACCCATCTGCAAAGACTTTTCTTTTTTGTTGTTCTTGGTTTCAGGTGTTTAAGGCAATCTGTCAAACCACTGACTGACCATAAAGTTAAAGGAGCAGAGACTTCACTGATCACTTGTGACAGAGAATACAAACTTTATAAAATCAGTTCAGAAAAATCAAACAGCTATAGCAAGCAGCAACAGCGAATCCTTGGGAGGAGGGGAAATCTGACTTCTAGAGTTGCTAAATTATATTTTAAATTTCCAGTTTTCAATAAAAAATTAGAAGATATACAAAGAAACAAAATATGCCCCATACACAGAAAAGAAAAGAAATGAATAGAAACTATCTTTGAGGAAGTCCAGACTTTGGACTTTCTAGATAAAAACTTTAAATCACCTGTTTTAAATGTGCTCAAGGAAGTAAAGGAAGTTATATACTAAGAACTAAAGGAAACCATGAGAATGACATTTCATCATTGGAGAATATCAATAAAGAAGTAGAAATAATAAAAACTAAATAGAAATTCTAGAATTGAAAAGTATAACTGTAATGTAAAATTTCCTTTAGGGGATTTAGCAGCAGATCTGAGCAGGCAGAAAAAAGAATTGACAAACTTGATTTAGGTCAAAAATAAAAGAATGGAGGAAAGTGAACAGAACCTAAAAAACCTGTAGGACACTGTTAAGCATACCAACCTATGTATAATGGAGTCCCAGAAAGAGGAGAGTAAGAGAGGGGCAAAAAGATTATTTAAAGAAATAATGGCTGAAAAGGTTCCAAATTTGGTGAAAGATATGAATCTATACTTTCAAGAAGTTAAATGACCCCCAAGTATGATATATGCAAAAGACATCCATAATGACACACATTATAATCAAGCTTTCAAAAGCCAAAGATATGGAGACATGTCTGAAAGCAGCAAGAGAGAAGTGACTCTTCACAAATAAGTGATCCTTAAAAAGATTACTACTGATTTCTCACCAGAAACCATAGAAGCCAGAAGGCAGTGGGATGATATAATCAAAGTTCAGAAAGAGAGAAAACTGGCAACTAAGGATTCTATGCCAAGCAAACTTATCCTTCAAAAAAATGAAGGAGAAATTAAGGCATTCCTAAATAAACAAAAACAGAGAGTTCATTGTTGGTAGACCCGTCCAACAAGAAATCCTATAAGGAGTCCTTCAGGCTGAAATAAAAGGATAGTAGACAGTTTTGACTCCACACAAAGCAATAGAGAACACCAATAAAGGTAACTACATCAGCAAATTAAAAAGTCAATATTAATGTATTTCTGTTTGCAATTCTTGATTTTATCTTTATGATTTAAAAGACAACTATGTTGAACAATAATTATAAATCTATGTTGATAAATATACAGTTTTTAAAGATGTAATTTGTGACCATAACAACATAAGGGGTGGGGAGAAGAGCTATGTAGGAGCAAAGATTTGTACTATTGAAACTAAATTAGTATTAATTTGTACTAGATTGTTATAAATTCAGATGTTAAATATAATTGTTAACTGTTAGTCATTAAGAAATAACAAAAAAAATGGTAAAAAAAAATAAGGGAAACAAAATGGTGTATTAGAAAATGTCTAACACAAAAGAATGCAATAGTGCAGGAAATGAAAACAAAAAGATAGAACATAGTAGAAAACAAATAGGAAAATGGCAGAAACAAGTTCTTCCTTATCACTAATTACTTAAAGGTAAGTAGATCGAACCCTCCAATTAAAAAGCATTGATTGGCAGAATGGATTAAACAAAACATAGTAAAATACATGCTGTCTATAAGGGACTCTTTAGAGACAAAGTCACAAAGAAGTAGAAAGTAAAAGTATGGAAAAAATATTCCATGCAAATTGTAACCAAAGAGAGATGGAGTGGCTTAACCAATATCAGACAAAATAGACTGCAAGGCAAAATTTTTATAAAACAGAGAATGACACTGTATAATGATAAAATAGATTCAATTCATCAAAGAGATGAAACAGTTACAAACATATATGCATCTAATAACAGCCCCAAAGTGTATGAAACAAAAATTGACAGAATTGAAGGGAGAAATAAACAGTTCAACAATAGTCATTGGAGAGATCAACACCCTATTTTCAATAATGGATAGAATAACTAGACAAAAGATACACAAGGAAATAGAGGACTTGAACAACACTGTAAACCAACTGGACCTAACAGACATCTATATAATACTCTACCAAAAATAGAAGAATATACTTTCTTCTCAAGTATACATGGAACATTCTCCAGGATATACCATAGTAAAGACATAAACAATTCTCAGTAAACTTTAAAATGCTGAAATAGCATAAACTATCAACTCCAACCACAGTGGAATGAAATTAGAAGTCAATAACAGAAGGAAATCTAGAAATTTCACTATGTTAGAATATGTGGAAATGAAACAACAAACTCTTAAACAACAAAGAGTCAAAGAAGAAATCACAAGATAAATTAGAAGATACTTTGGAATGAGTGAAGATGAAAACAAACCAAAAGCAGTGCTCAGAGGAAAATTTATAGCTGTAAATACCTACATTAATAAAGAAAGATCTCAAATCAAGAACTTAACTTTATACCTTAAGAAGCTAGAAAATGAAGAGCCAAATAAACTAAGCAGAAGGAGGGAAGTAATAAAGATTAGAGTGATATAAACAAGATAGAGTATAGAAAAACAATAGAATAGTTGAAACTAAAGATTTTTTTTTAAAAAGGTCAACAGACTTGAGAAACTTTAAGCTAGATTGACCAATTTAAAAAGAGAGAAAACTCAGCTTACTGAAATCAAGAATGAAACTGGAGACATTACTACTTACCTTAAAGAAAGTAAAAAGATTATAAGAGAATACTATGAACAATTGTATGCCAGCAAATTGGATAAGTTAGATGAAATGGACAAATTCCTAGAAACACACAAACCACCAAAACTGACCCTAGAAAAAATAGAATACCTGAATAGACCTATAACAAGTGAAGGGATTGCATCAGTAATTTTTAAGCTTCCAAAGAAAGCCTAGGACTAGATTGCTTCACTGGTGAATTCTACCAAACACTTAAAGAAGAATTAACACCAGTCCTTCTCAAACTCTTCAAAGAAATAGAAGAGGAAGTAATTCTTCCTAACTTATTCTATGAGGTCAGTATTACCATCATACCAAAACCAAACAAAAACACAAGAAACAAAAACTTCAGACTAACATTCACAATAAATATAGGTGCAGAAATTCTAAAAAGTATGCTAGCACACCAAATGCAGCAGCAGATTAAAAGGATTATACACCATGACCAAGTGGCACTATCCCAGGAAGGCAAGGGTGGTTTAACATGTGAAAATCAGTCAGTGTAAGACACTAGATTGATAGAACAAAGGGCAAGAACTACATGATCATCTCTATTGATGTAGAAAAGTATTTGACAAAATCCAACACCATTTTATTATAAAAATAAGGAATATAAGGAAAATTCCTCAAACTGGTAAGAGTCATCTGTGAAAAACCTACAGCTAAGATGAAGGATAAGGCAAGGATGTCTATTCTTGCCACTTCTGTTTAATATAGTACTAGAGGTGCTAGCCGATGCAGTTAGATAAGAAGAGAGGGGAAATGGCTTTCAGATTGGAAAGGGAGAAGTAAAACTATATTCATAGATGACATGACCTTATATGTAGAAAACTTTAAAGAATTCACAAACAAAAACTATTAGAACTAATGAAAGGGCTCAACAAAGTTGCAAGAAACAAGATCAACATAAAATCAGTTGTATTTTTATACAGTAGCAATGAACAATTTGAAAAGGAAATTAAGAAAGTAATTCTATTTACAATAGCATCAGAGTATTAAAACACTTAAGAATAAATTAACCAAGGAGGTGAAAGACTTGTAAACTGAAAATAACAAAATATTGAAAGAAGTTAAAGAAGACCCAAATAAATGGAAAGACATCACATGTTAATGGATTGGAAGACTTTTTATTGTTAAGATGTCAGTACCTCTCAAGTTGATCTACAAATTCAGTACAATCTCTATCAAAATTTCAATTGCCAATTTTGCAGAAATGGACAAACTGATTCTAAAATTCGTATGAAATTACAAGAGACTTCAAGTAGCCAAAATAACCTTGAAAAAGGCAAAATTGGAGGACTCACTTCCTGACTGCAAAACTTACTGTGAAGCTATAGTAATTCAGTCATAAAGATAGCTATCTAGATTAATGGAGTCAAATTGAGAGTTCAGAAATAAACCCATACATCTGTGGTCAACTGGTTTTTGACAAGGGTGCCAAGACCACTCAATCGGGGAAAGAATAGTCTTTTCAACAGATGGTAACAACTGGATAACCACATACAAAAGCATGAAGTTAGATCCTTACCTCACACCATACATAACAATTAAAGAGTAAACAAAGAACTAAATGTAAGAGCTAAAACTATAAAACCCTTAGAAGAAAACATAGGAGCAAATTTTCATGACTGTGGATTTGGCAATGGTTTCTTAGATATGACACCAAAAGCACAAGAAGCAAAAGAAAAATTAGATAAATTAGACTTCATCAAAATTAAAAGCTTTCTTGCATCATAAGATACTGTCAGGAAAGTGAAAATGCAGCCTATGGGATGAGGAAAAATATTTGCCAGTTGTATGTTTGATAAGGGTCTAGTATCCAGAATATATGAAGAACTCTTACAACTCAGTAACAAAAAGACAATCCAATTAAAAATGGGCAGAGGACTTGAATGGACATTTCTTCAAGGAAGATATACAAATGACCACTAAGTACATCAAGATGCTCAACATCATTCATCATTAGGGAAATGATAAGGAAAAGCACAATGAAATACTCCTTCACAAGATAAGTGTAACAACAACAACAACGACGACGACACAACAAATAGAACAAAAAACAGAAAATAAGATGTGTTCATGAAAATGTGGAGAAATTGAAACCCTCATACATTGTAGGTGGGACTGTGAAATGATACAAGTACTGTAGAAAACAGTATGACAGTTCCTAAAAAGTTAAAATTAAACTTACCATATGACCCAGCAGTTCTACTCCTAGGCATATACTGAAAGCAAGTGTTCAAACAAAAACTTATACAAATGTTTATAGCAGTATTGTAATAGCCCCAAACTGGATGGATAAATAATATGGGTGGGGTGTGTGTGTGTGTGTGTGTGTGTGTGTGTGTGTTAGTAGAATGGAATATTATATAGTCATGAAAATGAATGAAATATTGCTATGTGCTATATGAATGAACCTTGTAAATATATTAAAAGTCCCTGAATTATACACTTTAAAATGGTTAATTTTGTTATGTGAATTTTACCTCATTAAAAAAAAGCATTCCCAATAGTAATACTCATTGGGTATTTGTAAAATTAATCTATATAACATCTTTATTTAAAATACTTTTTTACAAATACAAGAAATCTCTAAGGGAAAAGAATCTCTTTATCATATAGCTATATTGTATTTAAATTATGCTTATATTTTGATTCTACTGCATAAATTTATGCCAACCTAGATCTTTTAGAAGTGTTGTTATTTAAAAGTAGTTAAATTGAATTTTACATGTCTCAATTCTGATTAGACTCATTTCAGTTGTTCAATAACTGCATGTGGCCAATGACTACAGAACTAGATAATACAGGCTTAGGTAATCAGATAATGCTAGGAAAGACTAGAATTCAGACCTAGAGAAGTTTTCCTGCAGTACTATTGTGGATAAGTCCAATATAGGAAGGGGCAGCATGCAGAGGGAATACTCAGGGTTGGGAGAAAGGTCTTGTCCTGCGATGGTGTGATTCTGAGTCAGATGCTAAAGGTGCCTAAGTTGGCTATGGGACTTTCTTCTCAATCATCACCCTCTTCCATACCTGCCGCCGTTAGATGCATATTACCAGGTGTATAGTGACTAAGAGCAGGCATGACTATTATAATGTATAGTCCCTTGAACTTCTTTTCAGATAATTCCTTATATATCTTCTTTTCCCCATCCCTTCCACAATGGAAAATTACAGGACAAAGGGTAAAAGAAAGGATCTAAAAGTAAAAAAGATACAGAAGAAAGATAGGAAAGGAGAAAAATTGCAGAAACAGACATAAAGAACTTATAAGTATGCTCTTAATAAATTAAAAGGTTGAATGAAGTTTTCTTTAAGAGACAGAAAATGTATGTAAAGATAGAGAAATGTGATATAGAGCAAAGGGACATACCCAAAAGAAAATGCCATTTATTTCAAATTGCCTTCGTTGCTTTCTTTATAGCTGTGCCACTGCCTACGTTCTACTGGCTGAGGAAGAAGCAACAACTATTGTAGATGCTGAAAGGTTATTTAAACAGGCACTCAAGGCAGGAGAAACAATTTATAGGCGGTCACAGCAGTGCCAGCACCAGAGTCCTCAGCATGAAGCTCAACTGAGTAAGTGAGTTTGAACTAATTTTCACCAATCTTTTAGTTTCTGCATCTGCCTCTTCTATGTTGAAAACACAAAACAACAAAAACTTAAAAATCTTAATATTTAGAGGTTTGCTACTTTTCATAAAAGGTAACTAATCTATTTAAGCCAGCAAGACAGAAATGTGGTTTAGCTATAGAATGCTTGTAGAGAGGAATGGATCTGCTCTGGTTATTGAGAGAGGTGCTGCTGTGAAACTTAACAGTAATTTATTTCATGTAAGACTTGGGTTGATCATTGGAGAAACACAATTCAAAAATATTTAAGACTGAAAGATTGAAGAGAGTCTTCTAGTAGTGGTAAGCCGCTGTTACCTTTATCCTCACCCTCACTCCGATCAGTAGTAGAGGTGTATCATTTGGTTTTCTCTACAGACTGTGTATATCTCCATGTAGTGCCAGGGCAAGGCCCCTTTAGCACAAAAACCAGCCTTATACTTGGTATTGATTCTTTCTTTAGTTGATTTTTCTCTGTGATGTATTGGAGATCCTACAGGCCATAGCAACTGAGGTCTTATCTTTCCACTCTTAGGGATACTCTCAGTTATGATTGAAACACTTTTACCAAAGATACTAGAATCTGTAATACTGCTTCTTGCTATTTTGTGTGGTCAGAGGGTTTTAGTTTTGTGATTTTGCCACATAGTGGGCAATAAATTGAAATTTGTTTATATAATGCATTATCTGTTAGCAGTTAAGTTCTAAATCTTTTGTTTGTGGAAATTAAAATTTGGATAATTTTTTCTCTCTAAACCAAATATTAATTTATATGCTATGTTTCATTAATGCATGTTATTATAACACACAACTGTGGGAATATATAATTTTGCAGTCTAGACTAATGAAACCATGTTTTTGAAAAAGTCGTGCCATTTGTCCTTGTATACTCTCAAATATAGTAATGAGCTACTTACAGAAATATTTGTTGGTCCTTTCTAGAAGTAGTTTTATAGTTTGTTAGTTACTAGCTGTTGAGCAAAAATTCACACTAGCCATAGAACTTCTGTTTTGAACATCTTTGTCAGTTAAAATAACAGAGAATATTAAAATAATAGATTTTTTACACAGAAACTTAATAGATTAATGCTATTTCTTCCTTTTGGTGTCTCTTTTTTAGTATTAAAATGTACTCGTCGGCACCCGGCTAGCTCAGTCGGTAGAGCATGAGACTCTTAAAATGTACTCGTCAAGTATACATAAATTACTTTATATATACTGTACTTAGATTGCTTAATGTTAGAAGCAAAAGTAATTCTATATATATACATTTTTTAAGCTTTTAATGTAAAAACTTCATTTTTAAACATAGAGTAGCATAATGAACAGTCATTCAATGTTCATCACCCAAATTCAATAGTTTTTAATATTCTTCCATCCTGACACAATTTAATTTTAATTGAACATTCCAGGGCAAGCAAATATATGTTAATGAAATAGCAGATCATAATATGAAAGTGATAGTTTTGTGTGATCTTTTGTTTTTTCAAATAGGGAGAGATACCAACGTACTGGTATATATAAAAAGAAGACTGGCAATGTGTGCAAGAAAATTAGGAAGAATAAGAGAAGCAGTAAAAATAATGAGAGACGTAAGTAAATTTGATGACTGGACTTTTGTCTTTATTCCTTCAAAAACTGAAAATGTGTTTTAAGTTGCCAGTTGTGTTAATGCAGAATCACTGCTTTTTAACTGATAGTTTTTATAACAAGATGCTTATTAATATGTATATAGATTTCTTAGAAGTTGAGTGTCCACAATTTTGTTAAGAAACAAAAGAATTTCTACTTAAATGAGTCTGATTCATCTCTATTGAGTTCCTTTGCTATAATTTTAATCTTTTTTCCTTTTAATATACAGTTAATGAAAGAATTTCCTCCTCTTACCATGTTAAACATCCATGAAAATCTCCTAGAATCACTTTTAGAATTACAGGCCTATGCAGATGTTCAAGCAGTCCTAGCAAAGTATGATGGTGAGTGATACTTCTCTTAGTTGATAGTATGGTTAAAGCTTTTTTTTTTTTCAATTAAATAATCGTAAATGTGATCCTGTTCTAGTATTTCTGTGATTTTTCTCTCCATTCTTACCAGTTGGTATTTAGAATCTGGGGGTACTAGTTACTATTAAGTATCTTCTTTACCAGTACTTTTGGTAGCAACAGCCTGCAAGGAGGAACTTTTCTTCTGTCGAGATTTATTCGTTTGTTTATTGAGCACCTAATATGAGTGAGGCCCTTGGAATACGATGGTGAACAAGAAGACATGGACTTAACCCTTTTAGGATTTGCAGTTTAGTGGAACATACAGACAAATGAATAGTAGTTATATTGAACCATAGCATGTTAGGTAAGATAATTGGAAAAGTACGGGGTGCTATGCAGCTTATTTGTTTTGGAGTGTCAGGGAAGGCTAACAGATTGCTTAGCAGTACGTAGAAGAGTAATTCAGAATAACATTTTACAATGCTGATTGTAATTTAGTATTTCATCTGATCCTTATAACAATCCTGTGAGATGATAGGACAAGTATTTTTATTATCTCCAGTTAGTAAATAAGAAAACTGGAGTTGAAGGAGGTTAAGTAATTGGCTAAGGTCTCCTAGCCAGTAGGTGGCAAGCCTGAACTTAAATTTAGGTGTTCCATTTGTTTGTTTATTCCCGACAGTAAGAAGTCATTATATATTGGCTATTTTTATTATTCTACCATAACAGTGCCAGTTTACCACAGATGAAGTTGGGAGAATTCTTAAGAAGCATAACCTTTCTTCTCATTCTGAGTGAGGCATCCAGCTTCAAAGCTGCAAACATCCTAACTAGCATAATATTATTTCTCGTCATATCTTTCACTATAACAGAACACATATAAGTCACTTATTCATACTGTCCTGTTATAAGCTCCTACCCATTAGCTTGGGAATCCCCATAACTTGGAAAGTTTGAAATGTGTTACACTTGGAAAGAGAAGTTTATTTCTTTTAAACATCTGGAATTCTTAGGAAGTGCTTTAGGATAGTCTAGGCTCATGGAGATATTTGTGAGAAATTCTTTCCATATGTTACTTATCAGATGCATGGCCTGCATGTGATACTTATGATGAACAAGCTTAGGGACTGAATATGAAAAATCAGATAGGACCTATTCATTAAAAATAAAGTAAAACTAGCAACTTAGATATGCTTCTGTGTTTTCAGTTATTTTTATGAGTCCTCGGTTTTTAACCTTTCTAGAATCCTGAAGAAGTGAAAAGGAAATTTACTTCTTTAGTTCTGCATTTGCTGGTAAATTCTGGAATCTAAAAAGAGAGTTCTCTCGTCTTACTCTCCTGATAACATTATTTTGGGCATTCTTTAAGAAAGAATTTATGTAATTAATTTAATTATAGTTCCCAATTGATTTCTTTTTATTTTATGAAAGAATCATAATTTAAGAAAATGTAGAAAATTCAAAAACAGGAAGAATTTAAAATGAAGGTCACCTGTGGTTATATTGCCTAGATTTAACTACTGTTAATTTCTTTTTTTTACATCTTAATTTTTTTCTGTGAATGGGTTGAGTTTTTACATAGTTCTAACAATACTATGCCTTTTTCCTTGAATAGTATTATTGTAAGCAAATTATTATAAACATTTGTTGAGTACTTTTCACCATTCATTGTGTGAGGGCTTTCACAGACATAATTTTATTTAATCTCTGCTGGAAAAGTGCCACTTTTTTATTTTGAGAAGAGAAAACTGAGGCTATAGAAGTTGCTACTAGTTCAAGGATACATAGGTGGTAAATAGTAGAATCAAGATTCAAACTCAGGTCTTCCAATTACATGTCCATGTGCTTTTACTATTATGTTATATGTATCTGTTGAATTTTTACTGTGAATTATTCTTATTAAAAATTGTCTTAAGATATTTTTTGTGATTCTTACCTAAGGTGAAAATTATTATTACAGATATAAGCCTTCCAAAGTCAGCAGCAATCTGTTATACAGCAGCACTATTGAAAACAAGGACTGTTTCAGATAAGTAAGTAGTTATGGAAACTACAGTTATCTTCCACTGACTTTAAACAATGCTTTTGTGGTGGGGGGGAGCATATTTCCTGCTGAATAACTCTTGATCTTACGGGGCTTTGAAGGTTCTTATTATGTGGAGTGGAAGGAGTAAGGTTTTTAGAGCTAAGTAAACTTGGGTTCAAATTCAAAGTCTAAAGCATACCAGCTGTGGAACACTTTGAGTAAATTAATCAGTTTGAGTTTCTTCCTCATCTGTAAAGTGAGAATAATATAGTAGGGTGGCTGTGTGAGGATTTTGTGTGTTGAATGCGCAAAGCAACGCTAGATAGAAAGTACAAATAGTACAGAGTAGCTGAGACAGTAGTGATAAAGGTGTATGGTAGGGAAATAGATTTCATGTTATCTGTTCTGAGATTATAATTCTCAGTTATTCTGATTTCCTTGTATTTTTGGCTGCCCTTGGTGAATTTCTCTTTATTTCACTGGTAAAATATTCAGAAACTAACCAAATGGCCACCATTTCTTTCACTTTAGATACTATGCCTTGATATGAATATTAGAATGGAATATTCACAGGCTGTTTCTTGTCAGTGAAAGTTTGATAAGAATATGCTTCTATTTCATGAGATTCTCTAGATATCGCTGTGCAGCATTTCTTATTTTGTTGACTTTCCCAAAGTGTACCTTCAATGGATTTCTCCTGAAGGCTTTCTTTACCTAAGCTTGAAGATTTTCATTTCTTGCACTGCCTTTCTTTGTATGTTGAACCAAAGGCTTTACTTTCATATTTAGTAGCTATTTGACTTTGGTTTTAGCCATCACCAGAAACCTCTGATTCAGGAGGCTAGATTATGTTATGTTATATTATGTTACGTTACATTATGTTATGTTATGTTATTTATTTATTTATTTAAATATTCATTTCGTCATTTTGTGATTTTCTTACAGATTCTCTCCAGAAACAGCCTCCAGAAGAGGATTAAGCACAGCAGAAATTAATGCTGTGGAAGCAATTCATAGAGCTGTGGAATTTAATCCTCATGTTCCAAAAGTAAGAAATTGTCTAATGGAAATGTTACTTTTATTTAGTTAATCAAACTGATAACAGTGCATAGACCAAAGTTTGGGTCTCCATAATTTGAGGCAGAATTGTTTTAGTCTGCTATATTTTGATGCTTAGTGTTTGCCTTAAAGGGGATGTTAAAAGGCATGTAGAAAAGTGGATAGGAGCAGTATTTCACTATAGGTTTTATCATTGCTGTCAAAATAAAATTTGAAGTGTGTTTACTTAGCTGTTCCTTTTGCTATAGTTATAGAGAAGAGATAAAATGACTTGGTCCTACTAAAAGATCATTCTTATTTCAGATCACCAAATTAAATTTCCTATTACTGTTAAAGCTTTTTATATCTAGACAGATGCCTGGGTTTTGAATGAGGGCTGGGTAGACAAAGACTGAAGACAAATAGACTAAAGTAATCAATAATAGGAAACAGGTGTGGAAGTTCCCAGAAAAACTGTTGAGTTGATGTTATTTAGTTATTTAGTCCCAGATGAAACTGTATTCATCTCATTTGTCTTTATATTGTACACCTTGCAGACACACAGATTATCACCCAAGATTAAATTTGGGGTTTTAAAAACAATGCCCCAAGTTAGGAAGTACAGAATATTCCAGAATATGCCTTTATTACAAAATGTAATTGTAACTATTGATTCCCATATAGTGTCTGTTAGTAGAATTTGGAATCTAGTAAACATTAAAGGATTAATCCCTAAAAGATAATCTCCAAGAAACAGAAATTGAAAGTCTGTTAGAGTAGGTAAAGACAGAGTGAAGAATATTACTGAAGTCTAAGTATGAGAGTCAACAAATGTTTATACCATTCTCTTACTAAGTGACATTGGTTCTACACATTCAAATAAAATTTTTATTATGAATTGCATTACATATACAGCAAAGTGTAAAAGACAGAAATGTGTATCTTAATGATTTATTATAAAGCAAATGCATGGAAACTCCCACTGAGGTCAAGAAACAACATTCTCAGCCCCCAGAAACCCATCTGCCCTTTCCCTGTTACAACTTCTTCCCTCCTGCCTAAAAGTTACCATTAATGCCATTCTGACATTAATTATGTTCACTTCCTTCTTTTCTCATATTTTTAGTATATACTTCTCCTTTACTACTGATTTTATAAGACACGTTAAGGAGTAGTCCCTCCTTTATCATTCTCTGGAATGATTTGTGTAAAAATTAAAATTATTTCTCCCTTCAATAATTGGTAGAATTTGCTGATAAGGCCATCTGATTCTGAAGTTTTCTTTGTGAGAAGGATTTTCTCTATAAATTTCATTTCTTTAGTTTAATAGTTTAATTGCAGATTCAGTTTCTTTAACCATTCCATACTATTCGCTTTTTTTTGTTTCTTGTGTTAGTTTTTAGTAAGTTGTATTTTTCTAGGAATTTATTTCATCAAAATTTTCAAATTTATTGGCATAAAGATTTTATAAAATTTTTCATTACCTTGTTAACATGTGCAGGATCAGTTGTAATATCCGCTTTTTAATTCATAATGCTGGCTACCTCCCCACCCCCCCTCTATTGGATTCCCCAGGGATTTATCAATTTTATTAGTCTTTGCAAAGAACCCAGCTCTGGCTTTGTTGATCCTTTCTACTAATTGTTTTCTGTGTCATTCATTTCTGCTCTTTGTGGGCTTCTTTCAACTTTCAACTTCTTTCAACTTTCTTCGGCCCTAATTTCTTGTATCTTCTTATAAAGGTACTTATTAATTTTCAGTCTTTCTTCCTTCTAATATATCCATTTAAGTCTATAAACCACACTAAGTACAATTTTAACTGCATAGTATAGCCTGATTTCCATGATGACTTCCTCTTTGATTTGGAAATTTATTTATTCCACTTAATTGTGTATTTCTTAACTTCCAATCATATGAAGATTATCTTTCTATCAATGATTTCTGGCATAATTGCATCGTGGCCAGAGAATATTCTCTGTGTGATTTCACCCCTTTGAAACATTTTTCAGTTCCTGAATTTCTGTTTATTTTTCATATCTCCTGTATTATTTATAGTTTCTAATTCTCTGCCCAAAATTTAAATATAGTTTTTTTTATCTTTGAGAATGGTCTAAAGTAGTTACCTTAAAGTCTTTCTCAGGTAATCCCAGTGTCTAGAACTTCTGGATATCTGTTTTTATTATCTGTTTTTTATGCTATATCATGTTCATATTGTCTTGTTTTGTCTTATGCCCAATTTTCTTTGACTACATGCCAGATATTTTACCTGAAAAATGTTAGAAATAGCTTGAAACCTCAAATAATATTACCTTCCTTCAGAGAGGATTTTCTTTGTCCATAGATGCCTGGAAGAAGCACTAGCAGGACAGGATCCCCTCAATTCAGTTTCAGGAATTAATGTTTTCTGGTCTATCCAGATGACTTGAAACTGGACTGGGTCCATGAAACTGTTGGGTTTTTTTTTTCTGGTTCACCCTTATTCCTAAGGTGCAGCCCTTCAGGGTCCCAATCCAGTCCTAAAGGTTTGCCAGGGCTCTCACCCTTGATAGGCCTTGAACTTTGATTTTTGTTCCTCTAGTCTTATGAAAGTGGCAAAATGGCTGAACAGCCTTCTAGCCATGTTTTCCAGAATTGGCAAATGTCTCTAGAATAAAAGAAGCTCCAAGTGTAGCTTACTTTTCTTATTTCTGCCTTCTTTGGACTATGGCCTAGTAATTCTTTACCTTTTTTTTATTTTAATTTTTTTTAAATTGAAGTATAGTCTGTTTATAATGTAGTGTTAATTTCTGGTATACAGCATAGTGACTCAAATGTATATATATATATAAGTGTGTATATATATATGTGTGTGTGTGTGTGTATATATATATATATATATATACTTTTCATATTCATTTTCCATTATAGGCTATTACTGGTTATTGAATATAGTTCCCTGTACTCTTTACCCTTTGTAAATTCTCTGATATATTTGATTTGATTTTTTAAAATATTTTGACCAGCTTTCCTAGCTGTCTAGGAGGGCTGGTCTGAATTACCCAGCCTTCCATTATGGGAAGGAGAGTTATGAAAATACTTTTATATGAAATGCTCTGCTCTCTTGTGCTGCAGAGTTTTTAAGAGAATGTATTCTGCAAGTAAACCGCCTGGGTTTGAATTCTGACTCCGCTACTTCCTAGTTGTATGACCTTGAACAAGTTACTTAACTTCTCTGGTCTTGAGTTTCCTCATGTGTAAAATGAGGATAATATTTCCTACCTCTTAGAGTTGTTATTAAGATTAAATGAGTTCACATCTTTAAAGTGCTTAGAAGAGTGCTGGACATGTAATAAGCTTTACAGAAGTGATTGTTACTGTCATTATCCAAGATGAGATGGAAATCTGTTCCTTGTGTGAGGAGATAAGCAGCAGTTATTAATCAGAGCTATTCAAGTCAAATAAATGATTAAGATGTCTAAAAAAATTTTATTTAATTGCCACTCAAAATGACAAAATATGAACTATCTGCTCCCTATGGTTCTTTTCTGCTTCAGGAGTAACAATTCTGATACTGTATGTTGTACTTTGGTTTTCAGAACTACTGCTGGAGGCACTTGGGTGACAGGAGGGTAGTAGAAATCCTAGGCATATTCCAAATTATAAAATTAAATTGTTGGGTAGGTAATATATATTAATCTCCATATTTAATCTGTCCAAATAATCTATGATGCTTTTAGCAATATTTTTTTCAATTTAAAAAACACACATATATACTGAAACTCTACAAAACAATTATGAGAAAAATTGAAGAAGACTTAAATAAATGGAGTTATGTGTACCATGTTTAAGGATTAGAAGACTCAGTATTGTTAAGATCACAATTATCCCCAAATTGATCTATAGATTCAGTGCAATTCCTATTGAAATCCTAGTAGGCTTGTTTGTAAAAATTGGCCAGCTCATCCTAAAATTTAGATGGAAATGCAAAGGATCTAGAATAGCCAAAATAATTTTAAGAAGAACAAAGTTGGAGGATTTATACTACCCAATTTCAAGATATTTTAAAGCTACAGTAATTAAGATAGTATAATATTGGCTATAAAGATTGAAAATAGAGATTGAAATAGAGATCAATAAAGACATAGCGAATTCTGAAATAAACTCACATAATTGTGGTCAGTTGATTTTCAGCAAGAGTTCCAAGGCAATTCAATAGGGAAAGGATAGTCTTTTCAACAGATAGTGCGGGAACAATCAGGTGTGTATTAAAAAAAAGAAAGAAAGAAAAAGGAACCTAGACCCTTTCCTCATACCATATAAAAAATTACTCACATTGGATCATGGATCTAAAGGTAAGAGGTAAAATTATAAAATTTCTAGAAGGGAAGATTATCTTTGTGATTTGAGGTTAGACAAAGATTTCTTCAAAAGCATGATCCATAAAAGAAAAAATTGATAGTTGGACTGCTTAAAATGTTGAATTTATCATAAAGAAAATGGAAAGTCAAGCCAAAGACTTGGGAGGAAATGCAAGTCTTTTATCTGTTAAAGTTCTATATCCAAAACTTTTAAAAAGAACTCATTATAGCTCAATAATAAAAGGACAAACGACTCAATTAAAACTTGGGCAAAGGATTTGAATAGTCACTTCATCAAAGAACGTGTATGAATTAGCCATCAAAGAAGGCTCATGAAAAGATACTCAGCACGATTAATCATTGGGAAAATACAAATTAAAATTACAGTGTGATATTACTTTATATTTACTAGATGGCTATGCTCACAAAAACTGACAATATCGAGTGTTGCCAAGAATGTAGAGAAAATGCATACATTGCTGCTGGGCATGTGAAATAGTAATAGCTATTACTAAAAAAATAGCTACTTTGGAAAACAGTTTTGCAGTTAAACATATACGTACCATAAGATGCATCAAATGCCATTTCTAAGCATCTACCCAAGAGCAGTGAATAACCTATGTCTATACAAAGACATATGAAAGTGTTTGTAGCAGTATTATTCAGAGTAGCA